AGTAGCTGGGACCACAGGCGCCTGCCACAACGCCCAGCTATTTTTTGGTTGCAGCCATCGTTGTTGTTTGGCGGGCCTGGGCTGGATTCGAACCCGCCGCCTTGGGTGTACGTGGCTGGCGCCTTAGCCACTTGAGCCACAGGCGCCAAGCCGGGATTCTATTTCTTGATAAGAACTATGAGTAACTAGTTGACTTTTTTCCACCCTGTACAGTTACTTCAATGTCTGACAAGCATTTCTAAGTCAACATGCTTGAAAGGACAGTCTCTATATTGCTTCCTGAACCTGTTTCTCCTCACTGCCTAATCATAGTCTTTGTCATCTCCTCCATGACATGTCCAGGCACCCTGGCTGGAAACGTGGGTGTGTCTACAATTCTATTCTCCCTCATTCCCCACTCCCCACATCCTATCAGTCACCACATCTTTAGATTTTTATCCCACAGACATTTCTCTATTAGGTTCTGCCTCTTCATCTCCATCTCTACTGTAGCTGCAGCACTGATTTAAGCCCTTGTCACTCTGAAGTGGAATCCTGTAATAGCCCTGACTTCTCTGCTTCCAGTCTCACATTTTTTAAATTGGTTTTCCACGTTAAACACATGTGGTGTATATCAAGCATAAACCTTATCATATTCCTCTTCTGATGAAAGTCCTTAACTGTACCCTATTGCTAATAGGATGCAGCTTAAGATCTGTCGCTGGAGGTGACAATGTGAGTAACGGAGACATTTGTGGGCTACCTTCAGGCTTTGTTGCCATGTACTCAGCAGGTAGAAGAATGAGTCGGCATCCTGAGACTTCTGACCAGGAAGGCTGGCCAGACTTTTGGTTTTAGTATTTTGGGCTTTTCTTGTTTGCAGTATGGAAACAACTTTCTGTGTTGGTCTAACAAAGAGCAGGGGATGTAGGATTCTGTGCTCCAAGTGGGAAAGGGGCATTGGGCTGATCTGGCAGGGGTGAGTGGTGGTGTGCTGCTGATGGCAGTGCCAGTGGTTTGCTAGAGTCTGGCAAGAGCATGATGTGGGGGGTGGGATGGGGGCAGTGGCACTGGTGGTGGAGACCTGTACCCTGCTCTTCACGAGATAGTTGGTGGAGGCAGGTTCTTTGATGAGGATGGCTGTACTGTTGCCTTACACACTATGTATGCTATGGCCTGGTGGTAGTAGCCACAGAGTCCCTATCTAGTCTGAGGGTGTGGAGGACTTCAGGGGGGGCAGGGATCTCTGACTTCTTTCCAGAGCATCTGTGGCTGACAGATGGTCCAGCACATGCCAGAGCATGTTGTGGCAGAAGAAGTACCATCATTATAGGGATGATTGCAGACCAGGCCTCCTTCTCAAATACTGGACCAATTTCTTGGGTATGTTTTATACTCAGGGTCAGGGGGTGGTTTCTCAGAATGATAAATGACTTCTGAATGACAAATAATGAAAGAGGAAAGTTAGTGATTCACTCTAGCCTTGGGAAGCCCTTTATGATTTATTTTGGGAAACAAGGCTTCCCATGATCTACTCCCCTCAGTCTCTCTTCCCTGCCCTCTTGCCATTGAACTAGATTCTCTAGAGTGCTTCTCCCGCCATCTATAGTGAAGGAGTGGGTTGGTTTCTAAGAATATCTAATCAGTTACATATTTTTAAATATAATAACATTAATTGAATGTTGCAGCAATGCCAGATTTCTATAACCATTTTATTCCTTTCATATACCATGAAGTTTTACAGTTCTTTGCCTTTGGACTTGTCATTCCTTAAGCCTAGAAGATTTCTTTTCACCTGGGCTATACCTTGTGTGTGTGTTCTGTAAGTCTAAGCTCAAATACCATCTCTAAGAAATTTGTCATTAACTTGAGGGTATCATGTCTGTCTTTACATAGCACTATCTTATTTATCATAGTATATGAAAATTGTTTTTCTTTGCTTCTCTCCATTTCTATAGGCGTGTCATTAAAGAAACCTCTTTCTCTCCATATCTCCTCGAGGACAGCAACCATGTCATGTCCCTCTTTGTACCTGGCCCATCTGGGAAAGAATAAGGTCTCAGCCCCTTTGTGTTCGACTGAACCATCCTCCTCAGTATGTGAGTTTCCAAGCAAAGTCAAGAGTTTGTAGCATAGTTCAGCAGGTAAGCATCTAAATTTCTGTGAATTTCATAATGCTCATGATCAATATTATTTTAATAATTTTCTCAAAGGTAAGCCACCTACATAGGAACAAACTGGAATTTCATCAACATGCAGTTCACATTGACAATCTTTCTTAAGAAATGGATCTTGCTTCATTAGCTTTTTTTTCATGAGTTGACAGTCTCTGTTTGTATGTCTATACCAATATTAGTCCTTGCTTTACTTTATAACATATAATCCCTCTAAGATTCAGTGTGTTGGCTTCAATACTAATGATATAGGATCTAATAGTTAAGCTAAAATTTTGTAAATTCGTCATTCTCGTAATGAGTAAATGATTACTTTACAATAACATTTCATATTAGGTTTTTTAATGACACTGAAAACACTTTATAAACAAAGAATCATCATGGCTTTAGGAGAAAAGATCATTTGTCCTGGTTTTTTTGGTGAGGAATCCAGTGCAAAGTGCTATTAAGAAATTCATTCAGGGCTATAGAGTATCATCAGAAAATATAGTCAGCACTCTGTCTCCATGGGGGAAGCATCTGTAGGTTCAACCAACAATGAACTGAAAATATTCCAGAAAATAAAAAACCAGTACAACGATACAAAGCAATGCCAATAAAAATATAGTCTAACAACTATTTGTATATAATTTATATCAAATTAGGCACCTGCAGTAATGTAGAGGATATGTAAAGTCTATGGGAAGAGGCATGTGCATTATATGCAACCCTACACCATTTTATCTAAGGGGCCTGAGCCTCCACAGATTTTGGGATCTGCACAGGTTCTGGGACCACCCCTGCTACCCCGCCTGGTTACTGAAGGACAACTATAAATCTCCTTTACTTGTGATGTTTTCCTTTTGTTCTTGTTATTTCATTTTTAAATGAAAGACAAATAATTGGAAAACAAGTTAAGCTCTTCTGGAAGTTTACAGAGATGCTCTTAGATGTCAGAGTATCCTTGAGGAAAGTCCAAAATACAGGAAATTGTACCTGGGAGAAAAACAGGAATGTCTCACAATCTATACTGCTGGCGGCCTGCAGGATGGGACTTTCCAACAAGCTGCTAGAATATCCAGCGCTTCAGTTCTGAAACTGCCTTCCCTTCTCAGCCTGCAGGGGTCTTGCCATAGAAGGGAGGTGAGATCTATCTGTGAGGGAGCCCCCCGGGAGCGGTAGCTCCCTCCTTGACAACAGCCCAGTGTTGGTCGCAGAGCAGTCAAACAGCATCTGTTGGATTCTAAAATTGTTTCCTTTCCATTTAACTTTATGTCTTGGACGCGTTTGCTTGTTATTAAAAATATTCCAAGCATTATCTCTGCTAGTTGTATTATGTCATTGGGCAGAGTATAATTTATTTTATAATTTCTACATCATTGGGTATCTTAAGTGTTTCTAGATGTTTGCTACCATTCTTGTATACAAGTTCATGTTCCCATGTGTAAAGCTTTGTGGGGAGCAAGAACCCTAACTTAGAAGTATTTTGGAATTCCTATCTGCACTGCCAAATTACATTACATATAACAAAACAGATGATCAACATATGAAGCAGAAAGCATTAAATATATCTAGAATATTATGTTGAGGTGAAAAATTTTAGCATAGGTGATTATATTACTCTTTGATGTTGCATGCAGACTCAAAGACTTCTTTCTCTAAATCTTCTATGTCTGATGAATATATTCCTATTTATTCTGAAGTTGATTAGAAGTTTATTCTAAGTTGACATCTAACTTCTAGTTGACAACCTACAAAGCAATTGCTAACTAGTTTTTAAATTGGAAGTATAGAGATAGAAATATGTTAAAGAAAAAAGTAAGACAAATAGTAGAACTGACAGATGTCAAACTCATCATCATTATGTAATTCTAGAATTACACAGAAGAGCAACAAAAGTTATTTACTTTTTAAAATTAAAAAAACCCCCAAGAAATCAGAAGTTAGAGATATTTTTAAAAGTGCACAAATGGAAAGGAATGGGGGAATATTTCCTTCTGTTAGTTGGTTTGGGTCAACACTATGCCTTGCCTCCCACACACTTTCTTTTCTTTTTTTCTCCAACTGAACAGAAGATTGAATTCCAAGTTAAACATTTTTGTAATCTAGGTAGCCACTGGGTTGCAAAGCAAACATAGCTAATATAGAAGGAAGCTTTCCATGTACCAGCTGGGGCTAGACTGAATGTCACTGCTCAGCTTTCTAAACTCTGCATCTAGAAAATGTCCATCGCAAAAGGAAGGACACACACCCAGCTTTCTCATACGTTATTTCCCCGCAATTGCTGACCAGATAGGGGTGGAATTCTGTTCCTGATGTGTGGGTGGGATGCCCTCCTCCAGCTGTGTCTTCTGCTGCCAGCCAGAGAAGCACAGAAGGCCCTTTTGTCTAACAAGCAGCGGCTGAGTATCTGTGACAGCACTGCATCAGAGCTGGGCAGCGGACGGAGGCCGTGGACACGGCAATTACATTTCTCACCCTGGACACTCTACCCAAAGTGACTACCATAGTGGTCAGGCCAAGTCTGGACATGTATATATTTATTAATTTTGTTGCTTTTTTATTGTCAGTGGCCAAAGAGTAGATTCCTTTGCAGGTACTACAATACATCAAATAGCAATTATGAGTGCACTTAATCAATGCTTCTTGTAAAAAATAAAGTCAGAAGAACATTTTCTTACCCAGTTATGGAAAGTAAAAGGCAATCCTCTGCTGAGTTGGGAAGGTTAATTCCAGAGAAGTCCTGACATTGGCCTGAGCAATTTTACGATAATATGAAATGAACTTTCATTGCACTGACTCCTGATCAAGACATAGAACATGCTTTTGAGAAGCTTCTATTTTTTATTGATTAGCAATTATTATAAGTGAGATAGATCATTGGTGTCTGGTCTCATTGAGACTCCTACAGGGCTCTGTCACTTGGCTGATTGTATAGCAACAATACGCCTATGTGATCAGCTGAGTTAAGAAAACCTGGCTGAGATTGCATTTTAGGTCACCTTCATGTCCATAGTTCTTGGGCCCAGAAAGGGTATCCTCACATGACCTTAAAGAGAGAGAGGGCAACAGTACCTCCCTGTTAACTACTCTGAAACTCTTTTCTTGAGCTAGACTTTGGCTGTGATGCACATCTTTAATGCAACTTCTATATACTAAAAGGATATACTATCCTTTTTTTATAAAAAATACTAAATTTTCAAGCATTGTCACTTGTGTCCTGTGAGTCTTTGTTAGTAACAGATGTCTGTCTACCTGCTAAAGTTGATGTGTGTCTGCTGGCCCAGGTAAAGGTAGATTGCATTAATAAGGAAATATTATCAACTGGCAGAAAGAGAAATTGTGTCCTTCCTTCGACAGGCAAGGCAATTGGACAAATCTACAACCACCCAAAGATCCATTTTTCTGGCCACTTTTCATAGAGTTTGTTTTTAGATAAATAGACAATGCTGGTTTCACTGACACAAGCCATTAACTTTTCAGCTTATAAAAGCCTTTAAAAATAATCTAAGCTGCAGCGAGCTAACACAACAGATATTAATGAGCATCTCAGTGAATGAAATTAGGGAACTTACATATTTATTGCCTAGTTGTAGGGAGGATTCATCAAGTTGTCAGTTCTTGCTTTTTCCTTGTGCAGAGTGCTCACCTAAGAACAGAAGATATGTTTTGATCTACAAGCTCAGAGAGTGACTGGAGATGAAAATAAAGTTTGTTGGCTTGCTTTTAGTTTTTCAGAAAGCCCAATTATTCTGCAAGATTGTCATCAGAGCCACAATTTGCCTTTTGGTATAGCCTAGAAATGACTCACGAAGATTTATGGGCTTTTCTCTGACATCCCCCATTTTTACCCTAAAGGACAATGCTTATAACTCCCTGGGGGTGGAGGTGAGTTGGGAGATGGTAATAGCAGAGAGCCCCTGGGAAATGAGTGACTGATTTTCAGTTGTTACGTGAGCTGGTTTTGCTAAGCAAACCCATATCCTATATTTAAAGTGCCATTTTATCAGGAAGACATTTTAGGGTCCTTCTGTTTAATTCAATGAGAGTTTTGTGAAAATGAATTTATGGGCCAACATGGACACTTTAGTGACATAGAGACAAGCACAGACAATATTATGCAAAATTACAGAGCTTTATCGCCCTCCAATATAAAGGTAAATATTAACCTGGGATGATAGCAAGCTAAGAGGCCCCAAGCATTTTTTGCATGACACTTGGATCTGTGACATTTTTCACATTACCTGTGTCCTTCAACCAAGTATCAACATTAGTCACACTATATAAAAGCAATATAGGTCAAAATCTGCAGCTTAGAATAAATGTCATCATTTGGATCCAGCTTTTGTTTGCCAGTGGTTAGGAACCCTATCCTCTGGGAGATCTGGATGTCACCTGTTACTTACACAATCGTGGAATAATAAATAAGCACCAGAGACATATGGGGCAAGTAAATGCAGAACCCTTCATCAAATGCCGCTTAGAGCCTGTGCTCTGAGAAACACCAGGCCCAGTGTGGCAGCCCCCACAGCCCCTCTCACCTGGCAACTTCTTGTGCAATATTATTTGCTGTGAAAAAGACACAGTATCTGCCTGGAACCCAGGGCTATGAATCCCAGGAATGAAAGGTCAATAAAAGAAACATTTATTGAACCCCTGCTGTCTGCCTGAAGTCATGTAAAGCAAATCGTGTGAAAATCTTTAAAATCCTTAATACCTTTTCAAAATTGAAACCTGTCTAATTGAACCTAGAAAATGCTGGAGATGCTTCATAACAATGTGATTTTCGTAACACTTATCATGATGATATCTGTGGTGAAAGCAAACAAAACACACACCTGGGGAAAAAAACAACTGGAAGGAGATATACTAGATGCCAGTAGTGGTTGTATCAAGGTTGTATCACGTGAATAGCTTTAAGTTTTATTTTCTAGTCTCTTTCTAAATGCTATTGTTTCTATTTTTCATTATGCATAATGGGATCAAATATTAAAATGGTTTTTTAAGCCATGAAGCAACACTGTAGGGCAGTAATATGTGTCAGCTTGCCAAATAAACAATATGTTAGGATGGAGGAAAGACCATTTACTGCTGGATAGTCAAGTGAGCCGTGGAGGGAACGCAGAGAGTGAGACAAATGTTGAAGGGTGGAGGAAACAGAAGATGAATCTAGGTATGGTTGTGTACATCTGGGGATGTTTGCTCATTTTTACCCATTTGTTCATTTTTTTTTCTTTATGAACAAGTTTTATTTGCAAAAAAAAAATAAAACAGATGATTATGTATTGAATGAATAATTATCATACTAGACTATTATAATTAGCTCTTAGTATACCAATCATACATGAATCGTATGTGATGACTGAGAGGGGGCAGTGAGAGTTATAAAGGAAAGCTTGAGCTCATCAGGGAAGACAGTATGGGGAAGGATCTGAATGAAGTTTGGGGTAGTAAGAGGTAGAGAAGGCTAGCACCCCATGGGAGTCTAAGAGGATTGAACTTAGGTAACATGAGTTTATCGGAGTCCCTAAGCAAAGAAATATGACAATGAACTTAGATCTGCTTTTTCTTCCTCTAAATTGTTCAGAATAAACTAATGCTTCCAAAATAGGTTCTGGGATAGAATGTTTTCCTTCTTCTATGGAGTCTCATATTCTCTAATTTATTATAAAAAAGTTTTCTTCATAATACTTATGCCTTTACATACGTGGATTCAAAGTAAGATAATGTGTTTTAACTTTCTGATATGTGACGTAAGTGATGACATTTAAGATGCATCAGGTTATGTATATATTTTTCACTCAATCATGGTCATGTTTAATTTGACAAGATTTCTTACTAAAGCGGAGCTTCATATGTTCTTATAAAGAACTCCTTGTTCTGCCACATTTAATTCTTTTCTGAAATCATCTTCTTATACCCTAGTAGGCCTTTTCTTTTACACTAAAGAAAGCTCCACAATGTGTCTGAGCTTCATTTTCAGCAAAAGAGCTTCTCTGAAGGAGAACATGTTTAAAGACAGCAGAGAGTAAGGGTGGATGAACATCTAAGAGGAGGTATTCTGTGGCCTAATCAGAGGAAAAGGATTTGGTGACAAGGAACTGTCTTCTTAGGAGAAAATGATCAGCACTCTAACCATTGCCCATCAAAGCTCTAGAAACTCAGAAAATGTAGTATCCACTGCCATTCTCCCTGAAGGGGTGTTACTGCAGAAGTCTGTTCCCTTGGAAACATTACCTATTTGCTTCTACAATGATGCTATTTATTTCCAGATAAAAGTCCAGAGTTTCTAGATTGAAGTAATGACAAATTCAAGTAATACTTATGGCCACTGAAGCTTCAAATTTCATGAATTAACTCTATATTTCTTAGGCCATGAAACAAATATGAAAAATTCTAACAATCATCAATTTTGAGTGATGGATAGCCTGATACCTGTTCTATCAAATCCCTTTCTGTATTTTTAAAATTTCTAAAAATTTTTATGTAGGCGATGGTAAAAACATTGTACTAAACTTGTGAACTAATATTAAACTTAATCATTTCAGGTTTTGTTCTAGTTATATTTTAGAAAAGATGTAAGTATTAGGCAAATATAAGTAAAAAAGAAGATGAATAATATAACTTAAATGTGGTAAGCGTAGTTTTGTAAATAAAACATATTTGAAAAGTTTTTAAATGCCATGGGAACAGATTCATTTTAGGAGCCAATCAAATCCTGTTAATGATAAAGTTTAATACAAGTTGTGGTAGTAAAGAAACATTTGGAGATCATTATGTCTTAGAGTATAAATCCTGGGTATTGAATCACCAATTTCAGTCTTTCTCTTTCACCGAATATTTTCCATGGTAATCAGCTGGGTTGACCTTTGAGAAGTTATTTTGTTAAAAACAATATGATTCCTAAATTGGAAGTTGGCTGAAATAAAATGCTAGAAAACACTTCTTATTATTTTGATAACAGACAGTATCTCCTCCCTAGTCCTGTGGCCTGACAAGTTACTTATGCAGAAAGGGAAACTTGGAAGGTTAAGGGCTAAGGGTTTATGTAACTATCCCTCTGTGGTCTATTCCACTCACCACTGCGATCACTATGAGAATGGAAGATAGCCCACATAGGATTTTCTCTAGGCCTCAAAGAAGGGTACACTATTAAATTCACAACTAAACACCACAAGATTCTCAGTTTTTTCCCTCCCAGAGGCCGTGAGTCTAGTGTCTGTCATCATTTCCCTGCTAGACATGGATAGTTGGGCTGCAGGGGTCCGGATGCCAGCACCCTCCTCCCTAGGGGATTAGGGGGTCCTGCACAGAGGCTACTCCCAGATGTTGCCTGACACCCCAACCCACAGCCCAGAGAGCCTAGGAGAACAGCAGAGTGTGTTGATTAAAGTCCTAAGGGAGTGAGGAAGTTACTGTGATTCCTGCTTACAAGTCATGGGCAGATACTGAAAACTTTTCTTGATCAATGATATAGCCACACTCAGGGTCTCTCATGAGCCTATTTGAAACTGGTTCACATTTAGCCTGCTTATCTAATTTCTGGCCCCTTTCCCTGACCTAGTAGAATAGGCCTGGTTCCTTAGTCAAGGCTGTGAGTGGCTTCTAACCATTGTATGAATGAATCTGGCTCCTTTGCCATTTTGGATGGGTACTCCTGAAATAAAAAGTAGTGTAGGAATAAGGGATATGCATGCATCAAAGAGTGAGAGAGTATGAGAATGAAGGATGTCTCTTTTAAAAGGAGTCTTCCAGGAGGGGTTTGGGCACATCTGTGCAGGCCTCGGGGTCCCTTAGTTCTGCAGCTCTTCTGTTTGCCTGTTGTGGTTTGTTTTAGTTTGAATTTCCTATTTAAACTGGAGCCATATTAAACTTTCGATAGCCTGATCTTGATTTGAGATGATATTTATAGCTTTCTGTTTTACAAAATTGTTTTTAGCTACTAGAAATACTTATACTGTAGTTTATCATTCTGTAGCTCTCACTTTACATAACACATGCATTCTTGGACTATTTTGCATAAATAAAACAGGGAGGGGGGTAGAATATTATAAATATATTACCGTAACATGATATTTAAATTAGAGCCACATGGATTGTTTTGTAAAATTAATACTTACTTTTATTTTACTGTTTTGTGATGTCAACGTTTTAAATATCTGCTCTACTCAAAAAAGAAAAATATCTGTGATTTTTTTTATTTTTAAAAGATATCCAGCATCTCCTTCTTTATTGTTGTTGATACAAATACAATTTGTACAAATAATATAAATATGTGACAAATTGGATAAAGAAATGCAAATTTATCAGCAGGATATTATTGAGAAGCTCAACTAAAATTATATGAAATGATTTAAAACATGATTTACATTTTCACTGATGACTATGTCCTGGTTCTAGTTGACTTTACACAGACTTTACCAACAATGAAACAAGACAACAATAATAAAAAAATGAACAACCTTAGTGCTTTTTCTACCTCTCCTGCCTACAAATTAGGAAATCTCCCTAGCCACCCTCCATTCACTAGACAGCCACCCCAAAAGGCCAGGTAGTACAATATTCTTATCCAAAATGGCATTTCGGGGGCTCATTTTTTTCTTCATAGGACAATGTTGCATTTATTAAGAGTTACTAATTGACTATTTCTAAGGAACTTGTGCTTTTTGGCTATGTTTCACATGAACAAAATCCAAGGCCAGAGTTTGATTTTGAGATAACCACTTTTCATCTGGGAACTTACCAGACTCGTGAGAAATTGTCTTAACAGTGAGAAGCTTCACACTCTCTTTATCGGACTGAGGTCTATTTGAAACAGAAAACATTAGTTAGCACCAGAGAAATTAGCATGGTGTGTCTGTGAAGGAAGGTGAACATGACACAGACCCAGTGAAGGAGAGACCCGCGTACATGTAGTTTTGTGTATTTCTATGGCAAAACCATTGTCTCTTCAAATGCACATACACTTTTTAGCACTTCACATGTTTTCTGGAATTGAGCCAGTGAATCCCTGTCACTCTGTTCCAGTGGTGATCACCACATGAATTAAAAATTAATACGTGTTATGTGAAACACTTGTCACTGGTCCACATTGCTCACGTCTCCGATTTTGATTTATGAAGGGAAGAATACAGAAATGTTTCCAAGCCTTTTTAGGCTGCTGCTGAGTTCTGGAGATACTGCTTTTCACACAGCCCTGAGATACTGCAGTATCGTGACTAAACTGTCTATTTTAACCAAGAGTTCTCACCTATCCCAAATGGTTTCAAACCTTAACTCCTGAGGTATCTTAAGAGCCTGTATTTTTAATTCAGGTGGGTAGGTAATCTAAGGATATTATTTCCAATGTAACCTGATAAAACACAAAAACACTTATGTAAAGACAGGCTACAAATTGAGGTCACCAGAGAAAACCACAGGATTTGTTTTGAGCAGGAAAACAATTCATCATGTCTCTCTGCAGCACCCTGGTCTGACGGTTGCCTGGACTGTGAACAACTTCTTTGTTTCAGTCAAGCTGAAGTAGGGTAACCATCTACTGTTCAGTTAAAGCCACTCAGAATCAGCTCAAGGCAGAGGCACAATTATTACCTGTGATAAACATACTGAAAATTTCACTGGGAAAACTATTTTAAAACTCTAGGTATGTTTTCTATGATACTTTTCCTCATAGTTATACTCATTCTTCTACTTCTTCATTTATTCTTTTTTATTTCCCATTTTACCACTTTTTTTTTTGCAGTTTTTGGCTGGGGCTGGGTTTGAACGTGCCACCTCTGGCATATGGGGCTGGAGCCCTACTCCACAGGCGCCACCCCCATTTTACCCCTTTTTCTTGGCCAAAGAGCAATCTTCTCTTTTACTTGTTGGAATTTCTCTGTTAAATAACTTTGAAAAACATTTAGCCAAAGCCAAGATAGGAGATTGGACAATTGAGTTTGTGAACTCCTCCTAGAAAAAGTGCTACATACCTCACTGCTGAATTTCACTGTGGGTACCAGATGGCCAAGGGGGGAGTACTTCAGAGATGACCATAGTGATACTGAGCAATGAGGTATGTAGCACTTTATCTAGGGTGAGTTTGTAAACAGAAGTGGCACAATTTTTTTTTTTTTTTAAGAAAACAGGACAAATGGAGTAAATAGAGGATCAATAATTTTTCCTGTGTATTCAGTGGCATCAGATCATCGGGAAGAAAAATGATGCAGCCTTACTTACTGATCATTTCCATTTTCCTGCGTAGTGCCTAGAAGAGAGACATGTTATTAGAATCGCTAGGAGCTTGGCTGCCAAAAACCTGAGATCCCTACTGTTTTCTGAGCAGAGATGCTTCTAAAACCAACTTTAAATTGTTTCATTCCCCCCGCAGACCATTTCCTCAGCTGTGGTTAACACTCATCCTGACATTCACGGCATAGTCCTAATTGGATCAACTCCACTGAACTGAGTTCTAGACTAATTTTGATCTTGCAGCTTCATGTCACTATGTGAAGCTGCTGTCTATTACTGCGCATCCTGCAGACATCAGAGAATGTCTCGATTCATTTCAAGATCTCTGAAAAACTTGTCTTCAAAGTACTGAATTACATTTCCATACCAAAGAATTGAGTTTTCCACTTTCTTTGCTACATTGTTCTTTCTTGGGTCATAAATCACTGTTTGCGGTGATATTGTTTCTAGTTGCATCTTAAACTCACTGATTTAGCTTCTCAAAAAAGCCCTGCAAAATGTCACTCAGGCTACTCACTGAAACTCATCTTTTGTGCTCTTTGACAGGTTGCTTCACACGTGTCTGGTAGAAAAGTCCTTGGGTTTAGAGTGAGAACTCAGAATGACTCATTCTGTACAGGGACATGGCCTCTCTGGAATGGATGCTGGTGGTTAAACCTTGCAATAGTCTGTGGCCAATTAGGCCACTGTTTCATGGGATTGCTTAACCTTCCCCTTGTTTTGCTCCTGCTTTTGCTCTGGTTTTATTCCATTGCTGCTCGGCTCCTGTGTGTTTGGATTTCCTATCATATCTCACCTACCCCTTACCACTGGACATACCCTTTGAATACAATTCTCTTGGCTTTGACCGTGCTTGTTTTATAAAGACCTTGCCTTCCACTAATATATTTCATGCTTCTATTTCTGCCACCTTGACTAAGATACCTCATCATAACTTTTAATCCCTAGGATTTAACCCATGTCACCATTTGCTGTTCATCAACTGGATTTAACCTTGTCTTCTCTCCACCAGTAGGATTTTAATAGCATTTTTTGATTCCTGTGTCATATATAGTATCATCCATGATGATCATAGCCCTGTTACAAAATGAACTGATGTTTTTTGTATGCCTGTTTTAATGTTTTCCTTAGGATATGGTAATGATGCATACATTAACAGCTAAATGCGTACCAATGTAGTACTTTCTACATATATACAGTTCTTACTTGGTCAAAGCTAAGCCTAGGTAAGCCTAGTTTCATACTAAAATCTCTGATTCATATTGTCTTCCTAAAAGCAGAGTGAGATTTCTAATTTTCTGAACTTAATAAAGTCTCACCCACATACGTGAAGAATGATTAACTGTGAGTGTTTAATGGTGCTAATTTAATAACAATGATGTTGTAAATTCTGTTAACAAATTCTAAAACAATGCTGAAAATTCAACAGTAACCAAATAGATTTGGTTAATTGTAAAATTGCCAAACTTCATTTTAAAATTCTATATATTTTGAGAATAACTCTCCAGAATGATAGGAATTTTATACATCTGTAGAGTTCTCTTCAATGGAAAATGTTAACTTTTTTTTAATTAATGTATTTTCAAATCTTCCTATGCAAAGCAATTTTTTAAGAACAGGATATTTTAATAAATGGTCTCAGTACACTAGTTTTTACCTATCTTTTATATGCAACACCCACAGGCCTCAATTTGGATGGCTAATTTTCCATAAAAGATAGGACTGGTAGTTTAGAAACTTGGAGAAATTAAACTGATTTATAAAAATGTTATTTGCCAGCTTGGCATCTGTAGCTCAACGGCTAGGGCGCCAGCCACATACACTGGAGCTGGAGGGTTCAAACCCAACCCAGGCCTGCCAAACAACAATGGCAACCACAACGAAAAGAAAAAAAGCCAGGCATGTGGCGGGTGCCTATGGTCCCAGCTACTTGGGAAGCTGAAGCAAGAGAATCGCTTAAGCCCAAGAGTTTGAGGTTGCTGTGAGCTGTGACACAATAGCACTTTACTAAGGGTGACATAGTAAAACTCTGTCTCAAAAAGAAAAAAATGTTATTTCTCTCTGAAAATGGGTAAGAAAACATATTTCAGACATTATTACATTTTTCACTCACTCCCAAAGGGAAAAACATTGGTTTTTATGTTGTTATTGTTCTTCTTCTTTTCCACCAATGCTAAATAAACACTGTTGTTTTGGTCTCCTAACTTCCCCTTGCACTGCTGTGATCGTGAGTCACACCATCCCTGTGGTGCACAGTGAGGGGCTGGCCTCAGGAACAGCACTCATTCCGTCCTGGGGAACACTGTCCATGGGGTAAACAGAGACTAATGAGGCTTATAGATCTTATAAATATAACCAGTTTTTACCTTTTAATATGAGACTTAGGTAGAGTTTTGTTTGGTGCAATATTTAGAATCAAAGTGGGGAAAGGGATCTATTTTATTCAACATTTAAAAATTTAACTCAACAAATTATCTGATACAGGTCTTCTGAACATTGTATACAATGCGATGCAATGTGAACAGTATGTAGTTTGTGACTTGGAGGGGAGTTTCCTGACTTTCAGGGGAGCCAGGTGCATAAAGAAGTAACTATACCATAGTATGATCCATTTAATCAACAAATTCTCTGCAATTAAAATTAAAGAACAATCCATACCATTTGAAAAAGTGATCTCTTGTAAAAATATGGAGTAAATTGGTGTTGGAGTCAGTTCCTAATGGGTAAAGTTGGAGATTTGGTGGGTTGTAGAAGCCAAGAGGTGGGCTGGACTTTGCAGGAGAGGGAAGAGTATGTATGAAGGCATCAGGACATGACACTGCTTGACACCACCAGGGCTGGCTTCTGGAACAGAAAGATAGACTGGCACTAAGATACCACAGGGTCTGCTAAGCCATGAAGCTGAAGGGAGATTCAGGTGCAGGGTTTAGTAAAAATTGATCCAAAATGTATGGGATGGAAGAAAGACTGAAAAATAGTGAACAATATATGAATACAGTAGGGAAACTAGTTAATAATTATTTATCAACATTGGGTCACCAGTTGTGACAAATATACCATTCTAACATATTAGTAGTAAGAGAAACTTAGATACGGGGTATATAAGAACTCCCTGTATTATCTTTGTAACTTTTCTGTAATTTTTTTTCTGTAACTCTGCTTTCCCTTTAAGAGTTTAAAGTCAGTTTGAACTGGGCGTATGTTCATTTTCCTTCCAGAAACACAAAACAAAACATTTTTACATACCTGGATCTGTCTTCCAGCACATTCGATACAGACCCACCACAACAAACACTGAAAGTGTTATTACGATCAAAGCAATAACCACCGGCAAAATAATGCCTAAAAAGTATTGGAGAAATGGTCAGTTAAAGTGGCCATTGAATTTCACATCGATCATTTACTAAGTGAGCCAAAACTTGCATGCTTTCTTCTTTCAACAGCATTTTATTAGAAACATTGTATTTTAGGGAGAGATTTATCTGATTCAAGGGTTCTGTTCTTGTCATTTCTGACATATCCACTTGATGTCAGTCTTGTAACCTTTCTGAAACAAAATGCCAAGCCTAGGAGAGAGTTCCTCCATCTTCCTGGAGACCAGAGGAGTGAGGAGATGGAAGACTGAAGGGCCAGAAGGTGTCCACTAGATTATAATGAAACCTACATTCCCACTTTATATTCCTTAGTGCTTTATGCATGTAATGAAGTTACTGGAAAAAATACATATAGTCCATTTGGGACTGCTCTAGTCCTAATGCTGGCTTTCTGAAAAACTCCCAAATATCCTTCTATGATAATGCCTTAATACTAGGAAACACAGAAAATAATGTGGATCTTGCAGGAGACATGATTCTTAAAAACGAACACCAGGGTTCAGGAGAGGGGTGTGTGTCTCTGTGTATGCACGCATGTGTGTGTGAATAAGTGTTGCTGTAGTGACTTAGCATGTTTTTATTAAGAGGAAGTTTTTTGCTGGCTTTTCTGGAGTCTACCCTCTGTTCTGATGGTCATTTTCTGGGTTAAAAAACTGTAAAGATGAAAGCAAGCAAGTTGTCATAAGGACACAGCTAGTGGAAGTTAAGGTTACTATTTAATTAAATAGTTTCACCTATTAGCATAGTACTCCTTGTATATTAGTGAGGTGGTGAGAATAGTTCCCCAATTTGTTTGTAGAGTGGTTTACACTTCCACTGTCAGGGTTAAATATTTGTTTTAGTAAGTTCTGCTGATTTCATTATAAATCTTAAATGAAGTCATTATAGCCTCCTAAAACGAAGACACTATGACTCAGCAGATCAATAATTTCTATGGTGACTTATTTAATGGAAGGCTTTACATAAAGCTAAAAACAATCTTTTATGATTGCAGCTTTATATATATTCATCTTAGTCCTAATTGCTAAGGAAACTATTTTATATTCTGTTTTCAGTCTTACCATGTATAGTACATTTTAATACTAAATGGAGTATTTTTTAAAGGTAATTTTTTAATGGTAAGATAATGTTCTGTCGAGGCAAAAATTCATTTTTTAGTATAATTTAATTATTTTATTTAAAAATATTTACTTGACAAATAAAGATGGAATATATTCAAGGTATGACATGATGATGTGGAAATTATTCATTTTTTATAGGGATCTCTGCCTGTGGATCCCTTGGCTTATCTGGAATCAGTCCTATAGAATCATACTTGGCTCTTGGTGGTAATTGCTTAGCACTAAGATAAGAAAAAAATCATCAAGATGTGCTTTATTGTATATGGTCATTATGACCAGACTTGTAGAAAATTTTCAAGGCAGGCAGCTGTTAGATAGGATTTTAATGGGATTACACGTTCAGTAAAGTTAAGAAAAGACTGTTCTAATAGGGGTGGCCAGCTTGCAGCCCTCAGGTTGTGTGAGGATCACGTGTGGACACTTTTGCTTATTTTGGTGGTGGATATCATGAAAATTATGCATAGACCTTCTTTATTTGCTCATCAGCCTTTATTAGTGCTTTTATGTTTAATATGTGGCCCACGATAACGCTTCTTTTTCCAATGTGGCACAGAGAAGACAAAAGGTTGGACACCCCCAAATCCCTTCCCTTCATTGGTCACATTCAGACATTCTGCTTATCTACTGCCATGAATGAAGACGTGTCTGTTACTCACTGGAATAAGAGGGGCTGGTTGTAGGAGAGCTTGCATTTTTTCCATCCTCAGTGCCTATCATTTTAAGAAAGAAAAAAAATAAGAACAAGTCACCTTGATGTGTGCCAGTCAGAAGAAACTGTGATTTATAAGTATGAAAGTGCAAATACTGAAAATTCTGTCTCATTCTGACAGCTCTTTGTTTTGTGAATCAACATGGGTTGAGCTTTCTTGGTGAAGAAGGGCCAAGTAGAACAAGTTTCCACTTAGGCTCACAGAAATCATACCTTGAGACGGCAAGAGATTTTCTGTAACTGTAGTTGACACTGAGGGTAATGTGCTGGTTTTAGAATGCGATATATCTGGTTGTGGAGTTTTGCCTGTAGGAAAATATAAATCTGGGGTCAGATTATGGTATTTACTCTTCATTCCAGATTTCTCTGCATATCCAAACAGTTTGCATTTCGGAAGATAGGTGTAAACTTTTATTACAGAGAAATAGGTGGCATATAATAGTACCATTAAACCAAAAGTTCATCTATCTTCCTGGAATGATGACCAAACTTGAAATCAAATTTAGTCACAACCTAAGTATCAGGATTTTCTTGGCCTAAGAATTGGCCAAGAAAACACGAGGAAGCTTTTTAGCTTAGGCTACAGCCTGTATAATATGCTGCATGCAATTCTTGTGGATCCCATCTAAACAACAGCATTATTCAAATTTCAGATATTATAGCTTTAGATAATTGTGAGTTTTTCCATCATACATGCTTAAAATAAGCATGGCTGGAGAAAATTTCAAATTTTATGATATTTCCCAGTGGTTAGAAAGAAAAGATCAGAATTGAGGCTTTGCTTAGAAGATTGAAGGGGGAGGGGAGTCAAAGAAGACTCCTTCATTTTTATTTCTAATCCAGGGGCTATTTATACGGTGTGCCTTATCTAGAACAATTACCACTCAGTTGC